TCTCCATCTCCAAAGAGCACGAGCCAGCGGCGCCACCTTCGCCAGGCGGCTGCTCGCTGGACGACTCCCCCTCCTCGTTCGCCAGGACTGCTCCGACGGACTCGGCGTGCATCTGGCGATCAGGGCCTTCCTCCGTCGCAGGGCGCGCGGCCCGCGGCGCAGCGGAGAAGCCCTCGAAGCGGACCAGGGAGGGTTTCACGACAAAGCGGACGTGGCACTCGCCTTTGGAATTCTTGTGCCCGTGGTCCACAACGACAGCGTTGTCGATATCCATGTGCATCATGTGGATCAAGCTGGTCATGAGGCTGTTCCGCATAGTCGGCGCCCAGGCGGGGAACAGACAGACCTGCACGATGAGCTTGTCCGTGTGCGTGCACATCTTGACGACGCCTTGACGGCCGTTCTCCAGCTCCTGGATGATCCAATGGAGCCTGGCTGCCGAGACCATGGCGGCGCGGAGGGGCAAGGGGGGAGAAAGAAACCTGCAAGTGCAAGCCGATGGCCCCTCCTCAGGCAGACGCCTGAGCCACAGGGGCTCTCCTCCTCCTCCTCCTCCTCCTCCTCCTCCTCCTCCTCCTCCTCGTCCTCCTCCCCCTCCTCCTCCTGCGTCTGGGCCTGCCGCGCGCCGCCCGCAGGCTCCGCGAGCCCGGCGCCGCCCGCGCGGCACTGACCGCCGCCCCTCCCGGAGAGGCGGCCCCGCTGCAGCCGCCCGCGGCCTCCGACGAGAGCCCCGGCGGGCGCGCGCGCCCGGGCGACGCGGCAGCGAGGGGCGCGCGGCGGGCTCGGCCGCCCACCCCCGTGCTCGGAGGCTGCACACACGTGCACACGTGCACACGCATGTACACGCATGCACGCATGCACGCATGCACACATGCACACATGCACGCATGCACACATGCACACATGTACTCACATGCACGCACACATGCACACACACATGTACACACATGCACACACACATGCACATGAACACACACACACACATGCACACACATGCACACGTACACACATGCACACACCCATACCCATAGGGAGGTCGTCGGGAGGAGGACTGGCTATGGGTACGGGTGCGGGTTGTCGGACCCTGGGGGACGCTCCCGTTCGAGCGGGGACCCCCATCCGACAGCACGCACCCATGGCCCTCTCCGATCCCCCTATGGGTATGGGTGTGTGTTGTTGGTTCGTCACACACATGCACACACACACATTCATGAGCCGACAACTGGCATCCGTACGCATGTGACCCCTGGGTTTCCAGGGGTGGAAGTCAGTGGGGGCTGTGGGTGTGTGCTCTCGGCTGGGGGTCCCTGCTCGAACGGGAGCCCCTCTTGGGGTTCGTCAACCAGGGCCTATCCCTATAGCGCCTTCATCTCCTTGCTCGTCCCAGTTCCGCCTCCCTCTAGGCTTGAGTGTGGGTTGTTCAGTCATCACCAGTACGGGGCGCTCCAGACATGGCCTCGCACTCGAGGGGCCGAAGGAGCTGGCATCTCCTCCTCGGCGGAAGGCCGCGGACGGCGGCGGAAGTGAAACGGGGGCGGCTTCGCCGGCGGAAGCCTGCGGAGGGCCGGCGGAGGGCCAGCGGAAGTGAAAGACGCGCCTGCGAGAGATGACATTTTTTGGGGGGGGAAGGGCTCCGGAGCCCGCCACACGGCGCGGCCGGCCTGGGCGAGAGCTGGAGGCACATCCTGTGGCGCCAGGCGTCTCTCTGGCGCTCGGCCTCTCCGCGGCCGAGCGCGCCGGGCTGCCTCGAGTGTGTCCAGCGCGTGGCCTCCAGATGCTTTCCTCACGTGTATCTGGCCATGTGTGTGTGTGTGTGTGTGTGTGTGTTTGTTTGTGTGTGTGTGTGTGTGCCATGGCTTCTGGCGGCCGGCCGCTGAGGGACCGTAGGCGGTCTCTGAGGGTTCGGGCGTTCCTAGTCGCGCGCGCGTTGGCTGCTTTACGACTTTCTGTCCCGTCACCGCGCGCAGGGCCACGACGCCCAAAAGTGTGTGTGTGTGGGTGGCTTGTAGCCATCTGGCTCCAGCCGCCTGGGCTCGAACACGCCCCTGGCTCAGGTGCGGCGCTCCAGCCCCGGCGCCATGGAGACCGCGGCGGCGCGGCGGCGGCGGCAGCGGGCGGCTGCCTCCGCCTTCGCTGCTGGCGCGGCGGGCGGCGCGAACGCCGCGCCGCTGGCGCCGCGGTCGCCCCAGGCCTCGTGAGCGCCGCGTGCCGCCGGGGCTGCTGGCGCCGTGTGCGCCGCCGGCGCCGTGTGCGCTGCTGGCACCGCGGGCGCTGCCGGAGCTGCCAGCGCCGTGGGCGCCGCGGGCGCCGCAAGCGCTGCCGGCGCTGCGGGCGCCACGGGCGCCGCGGTCATCACTGGCGCCGCGGGCGGCCGAGGCTCCGTTGGCGCCGCGGGTGCCGCTCGGGCTGCTGGCGTTGCTGGCGCCGCGTACGGCGGTGGCGCTTCCGGCGCTGCGGGCGCCGCCGATTGGGCGCGGCTGGCGCCGCCTTCGCCGTCGCG